TTTTTTTTTATATTGCTTATGCTGGTTAACTGGTGTGTGTGTGTGTGTGTGTTATTTTAGTTGTGTGACTTATGTAATCTATTACATGTATACATCTATAATTATAGATGTATACATGTAATAGATGTGGAAATAGTCCATTTGATTATAATCAAATGGACTATTTCCACATCCTAGGATTTTTGCCTGTATGGATATATGGAAAAAAAAGGAAATGAATGAATGAGTGTGCATATATGTGAACAAAAATATAATCTCCTCCAGTCTAAATCTGGAGGCTTATTGCATTGACAGAGAAATTGAGGTATGTGGTGTTAAGTTTAAATTTCAGAGTAAGGAAATTTATTTATTAACTATCTACAGGTCACCCTCTGGTAATTTTTCTAATTTTATAAATCAGTTAGAGAATATTGTACATTCAGTTTCAGTTTATTATAATATTTTATCAATCAAGAACAGGCTACAAATGTCACCAGTCTGATATAGAACCAGTCACAGATATACAAGACACCAAATACTCAAAGAATATACTATGCATGCTTTGAATATTAAAGTGTCAGTAATACAATTAAAAATCAAAACAACTCAAAATAATACATTGTGAATTGGAAAATAAATCAGTCACTAAATACTAATGTATACGATTAGCATAAAAGTATATTAAGTAAGAGCCAGCAAGAGCCCTATTCACTTTATAATCCCAAAAATGATTTAATTATTTGTGGAGACATGAATGTCAATTCCTTAGAAGAGTCTAATAGGGTTAAACAATTAAATGCCCTTTTGAAAACTTTTAATTTAGTTAATGTGGTAACTTTTCCTACCAGAATTGGCGGACATTCTAGTACTCCCATTGATAATGTGTTCTTTGACATCACTAGATTTAATAATTTTCTTGTCTCACCTACACACAATGGATTGTCTGACCACGAAGGTCAAGTACGTACCATTGTCCTTCCCTTCGCATTAATAAGAGAACATCAGTCCTATACATACAGGAAAATTAATACATTTACTGTTGCTGATTTTTTAAATCAGTTAAGCTTTGTAAATTGGGACGAAGTCTTACGTTTCATCCTTTCGGCAGTGCCGTTTAGCTGTGGCGAAATTGGTGTAGTAAGTTCCATTACAATCCCCTTGCTCTTACAACATTCTCTCAAGGTGTTGTTCTTATATTCCCCTCCATTGTCGCATCTTATTCTTCACACTCTCGTATTGAAGTGACACTCAGCTTCATTTACATATTCCTTCAAAAAGGTATACATTTCACTCTTATTTTCTAACAGGTATATCTTACAAAAATGTGTATAATCATCCACACACATAAGGAAATATTTCTTATTGTCATAAGTGGTGGGATCAATTGGTCCATGCATGTCACTATGAATTATCTCTAATGGCTTTCCAGCCCTACTTCTTTCTGTATCAAATGGCCTGCATACAAACTGAACATATATCAAAATTTTTACACTTGTTCACACTTTCTGGTATCCCTTGGCATATCTCCTCTAGTTTCCTAAGATTCGCATAACTTATGTGACCTAGCTTACTATGCCACTCTAGACTTGTATCTTGCTGAGTCATCATAGCTTCATTTCTCGCACTAAAGTTAATTACAAACAATCTGTTTTCATCCTTTTTTTCCATCAATTACAACATTTTT